CTAAACCCTAAACCCTAAATCTCCATAAAAGCACTGAGACGGTTCTCAGGGGGATTTTGCCTCTTCGGCTATGTGGCGGCGCTGAGCTGTTTGCTGACGCACATGAGGGGAACGATTGCAGGCCAGAGGTGGCCCAGGGCAGAGAGCCCAGAGACTCCAATATCCCTTAATTGGGGTTTAGGGTTCCTTTAAAGGGATCTATAAGGGTTCTATAAAGGGATGTATAGGGGTTTAGGGTTTAGGGCTAAGGAATACTCCTTAAATTATAGTAGGATCCTTAATATGATTTAAGTTATATTCCTGAATTAAGGGATGTTGGAGTCTCTGGGAGAGCTCACTGCAAATAAGGGAGTCGTAGTGTTTCTTAAAACGGCTCATCGGGTTTTAACTATTGGGTTATGTTGTGCTTCGTAAGTTTGGAGCTTTAAGACTAGAGGTGTCTTTCATAGTACAAGTTACGGCCTGTTCTTCGTTTCGCTCGGTGAGGAGTTTCTAAAACCCTAGACCTTAAGCCCTATATAGACCCTAATCCTACGAACCGTGAACCCGTGACCGTGCTTCCTTTTCCGGCAGTGCGCTGTGCGCAGGTGAGAACGAGCGCGCGCTCAGGGCGCGGATGCAGAATGCACTCGGGCCGGAGCGGTGTCTTGCTCTGCAAGCCGAACTCCTAATATAGGGGCCTAAATAATAACCTATACTATTTTGGGGGGTTCCTTATGGTATAATGGGCCCCAAAACCCTCTTCCAATTATTAAGGCCCCCTGATTAATCCCTTCGGTTTGCGCCTGCTAGTGATAAGAAATCACACCGAAGCGGAAAGTTGAGTTTTGAAAGCTAAACACGAAAAGCCGAAACAACTTAGACCTCACAAGTTGAAGATCAAGACCGCGGGCTCTCCCTCGGGTATATGGTTTGGGGCTCTGTGTTTCGAAGATGTGTTGCAAAGTTTAGGCCCCCGAAGCTCTAACTTCCCTAGACCCTATACATAAACCCCCTTAGCTCCCCTGAACCATGTGTGTAATTCTCTAAAGTAGGGACACCCCAAACTAGTACGGCACCCTTATCTACCCATGCAAATTTACAATGGAGACTATAGGTGAACCCTGAACCCCCCAAGCCCTGAACCCTAAACCCTAAACCCCTGAACCCTAAACCCTCAAGCCCTAAATCCTAAACCCTAAACATTAAACCCTAAAACCCTAA